GATTGTTGCTCTTCTATTGATCACCAAAACAAGATTTTGATTTTTGATTTTGATTTTTATGGTCCAGCTGATCGGTGACTTTGTTGTGAATGTGAGGAGGAAGATAACAATGATTATGCTCAACTCTAAGCGTCGTGTTGTACAGCGTAATCTTCAGCGTCTTAACCGCTTTCCCGAATGAATGACTGCGGAGGCTAGGAGAACACTAAGGACAAGTCTGAGGTAGATGGACAACTACGAGATCATGATCGAAGCTGAAATGGCATGGAGGTCATATGCGAGGGCTGTCCATGCGGTTGTGGGAGCAGTCGATGACATTGCGAACTCGTTCAACGTAGACACTCTTCGAGGGGATCTCCAGCAAATGAACCAGCACCGAGATCGTCTTGAAGCTCTCCAAGACCTCGTCACTCGCACCAACCCATGAGGTAAATCATTTGAAACTCAAATCCACTGCGACTCTCCTAAATACTTTTGATCTTTTTTTTTGTTGCAGGGGGCTCACGATGAAGACCTTTCTTTTAGATTCTCTCTGAATATTGGGTTGTTTGGGAGTATATCCGTGGGTTACTTTTGAACTATGCTCGTATGTTTTGCTGTTGACTCTAAATGTCCAAAATCAGTTTTGCTTTCACTTCGTTTCTAGACTCAAACTTAATCAAATGTTTGAGGACCAAGAATGAAAATGGATTCATTGTGGTTACTCAGTTTATTTGAGGTTGTTTGATATCTTGTCGTATCAAATTCACCAGAATCTTTCTCATCTATCCTTGCGTGTAATTGTTCTGTTCTTGTTAGAGATGGGTTGAGCACCCTTATTTAAAGTCATTCCCAAATTGAGATCAACTCATAAAATGAAGTTGTGCCAAAAGTAACTCACCAAAAGAAACTAGGGTTTAAATCAAACCATGGTTAATGTCATTTTCTCTATAAATAGAGAGGACACCCCATTGAGAAGAGACATTCATTTTTATTCACAAGCTCTCTGACATTAGCTCTCTGACATAAGATCTCTTGATTCCCTCCTCTTTTCACTCAGGTCGTCACTCGAT